ATTAGATACGTTGTTAGATTCATTTTTATAAAATATTGACGAGTAAGATATTTTTTAAGTTTAGTATGATCTCGATTATTTCGTTCGTTCTAGTACCAACAAAGCACATGGAATTTTCGAATAATTTATTTTGAGAATATTACATATATCATGTCTACAATTCTACATGATTAGAATCATAATCTTTGACCGGTATGTGATAAATATACTATGTCCATGCTATATAATTGATAGTTTCTCGATTTTTTTTTTTTGGAGGATTTTAGATTCATAATTTCGAGTAGTTGAGAAAAATAAAATAACTTGTACCAATGAGAAATTAGATAATCTTTCGAAATGATTGGACCATTATACATTTTCTCAACCGAAGAAAAAACAGAATGATTGAATGATATGTAATGTATGCACGTTAACAGTCGTTGCATTATATCATATGGTCCTTGATGAAATGTACCTGTAATTATCTCAACGATATACCATGTACGTAACTTAATTTTGTAAAAATAATTAATTGCAATTAGCTAAAAGCCGGTTAGGTGGCTCTTCAATGGACTAAAGTCAGTAAACCTTCTACCCTGATCTTTAAGATAATCAAACTTAGTTGTCATGTGTTTCGTTTTTCAAATTGTAAGACTGTGTAGTATACTTTCATGACATTTACATATAATCTCTTCGTAGTATATATTTGATCAGTCACTAAAAGTTTGAGTGACTTTCTTCCATCGGTTTCCTCCTTTGACTTTCATTAGTTACTACTTAATGCCATGTTATATGCTTTAACGTACGTTAATTAATGATTATTGGAGTCAAACAAGAATGTATCAAAATCGGGAATTATTACACGTATACATACATTTTTTGGGGGGGTCAAATTATACCAACTTGAGAAATATAATGAATGTTGAAAAAGTTAAAATTAAAGTAAAGTAAACTAATGCGTGTTTATTCATGGTTAATATTTGTATACTGCAAAAGATATCAAACTTTATGAAAACATATGAGATGTACAGATCTATAGATAAACTTATATCTTACATTTGTATGGATACACACGTAGCTTTCATTGACATTACAAGGGGATACATATATAGATAGCCATTTGCAAATTTGGATTAAGTGCACTTAAGTAGTAACACTTGCACCCAAACAAAAAAAGCTGGCAACAGGTTTCTCAGCGAAACAAACATGTATTACATGAATAAATAAATAAATGTATATAGTGATATTAAAACCACAAAAAAAAGAATACAGTATAGTGATATAAAATATTATGAAAAATGTAAGATACATTTTCCAAAATATTAAAAACGAATTATTTGTATGAATAGGAAGATTTGTTGTGTCTTAAACTCGGGACGATAAATTAATTTCATCGTTCATCAGGTACACGGTCGGTCCATGAAACCCGGAAAACCCAGTTAGAGACAGTCCTCTTCCTCAAACTTTTGATCCTTTCATGGCTGCTCTTTGAAATCGATCTTCTACTATCAGTTGACTCAACGTATTCTTTGAGCCTTCCCATCGCCAAATCGAGTGTCTCTTCACTCATGTTGGCGAAACAAACCCTAAACCAACCTGGTTCAGTACAATGGCACGATGAACCGGGTGAAATATTTAGCTTCACTTCGTATACAATCTTCTTCCATAGCTCAAGCTCTGCTTCGAATGTGTTTGTGTCCAGGAGATGTCTCATGTCGACCCAACAGAACAAACCAGCGTTACTTTTTAGGCAAGTAACCCCTGCAGCCTCTAGACCGGACACGAGTTGCCTCTGACGAATCTTGAGTCTTTTCTGGTTTTCGTCGAGGTATGTACTTGTGAACTTTTTGTCGGAAAGCAATGCGGAAAGAAGGTATTGTGTTTGGGAAGACACGAGACCGAAACTAGACATTTTCGTCGCAGCGGAAACAACCATTTCGTCGTTGGAGTATATTGCTCCAACGCGAAAACCGGGTAAACCGAGATCTTTGGAAAGACTATAAACGACATGAACTCGTTTTGAGACTTCACTGTTCTCGAGTTTTTTGTCTTTCAGGACATCCATGACACTAACGAATTGTTCAAACCCAAAAACGGTACCTGAATAGATCTCGTCGCTTATGAGATGAATGTTTTTGGAAGTAATGAATTCAACGAGAAGGTTAAGTTCTCTTCTGGTCAACATTGTGCCAAGCGGGTTAGATGGGTTGGTAACAAGAACTCCTTTGACCTTAAGATCAAGCTTCTGCGCTTGTTGATAAGCTTGTTGAAGAGCTGACTCTGTTATTTGGAACCCATTAGAGCTCGAGCAATGAATCGGTACGATCTCTGCTCCCGTTCTCCATTTCAAATCCCTATCGAAACTGTACGCATAAGCCAATTGAATACTGTCAGCTCATGTTTCTTGGTAGGCAAGTAAAGAAAATATCTCAAACCTAAAAATATTAGGCTATAGAAAATTACCCTGGATAGTAAGGAGTGGGTAAAAGGAAAGCGTCGCCTGGTTCCGCGAGACAGAACATGAGAGTTTCGTTGGCAGAGGTTGAACCAGCGGCGAGGACAATCTTGCTTGGGTCAAATGTTACTCTATTCCCTCTTATTTCCTCCATAAACTCTGCCAAAGCCTATGAACAAGTAAATACTATTAAGTTACTTGCGTCTCAAGCTACATATCTATGTTCTTTTGAAATGTGAAGGGGGAAATTTTGATTACTTACTTTCTTGAATTCGGGTAGGCCATGATAGTCTTGGAAGAGAGCAAGCTCTTTGAAAATAGATTGGCCGTCCTTCTTGAGTCCGGCTGCATCCGGATTCTTAGCTAACCATGTCTCTATGAGATCAAAACATAGCTGTATATATATAAAGACGATCATGTTAAGTACCAAAAAGGATATAGACTAAAAGATTTGTCCATTGGTCGAAAAGTCAAAGTTATATATTAACCTGATTTTCGGCAAGACCCATTTGAATAATCCCGTTAGGGTTCTTGATTTCGTCGTAAGGGTTCTTCTCGTATTCTTCCCATCCCAAGAAGTAGGAAGAGTCTTGTCCATGAGCATTGCTTGTCACTTTTGTCGACAGCTGTTTCATCTTTTTTATATATAATCTAAAAGTTTTTTTTGGCTTTAGTGAGATATGATCACTGAAGAACAAGCGATCGGTTGTGAGAGAGAGAGATGTTGAATTAGGATTTAGTTAGTTGGTGAAGAGTGAGATGTGGAATGTAGATGCTTGAGGTATGTGGGAAGTATATATATACATTATTTTGTACTCTTTAAAAAATTGTCATGTGAGATTGAGAGACAACTTCCGTTATTTACTTGACGTAGCTAATAATTTATCAGGTATCATTTATTGTCATTATAAACTTAAATATTCAAGATTTGGTACTAACAAAATTCAAATTAAATACTATTTCTTGAAAGCGTCTTCATTTGTCGTTTTAATTTTATAACTTCTTATATAAACTGATATTTTGCTATCAGTTATTACAACAAGAACAACAAAAAAACATGTGTGGAATGGGCCTAGTTAACGTTAGAAGAAGTTGTTATAAAACTTTAGAGGAAGTAGAATAATGTTTCACAAACACACGAGATAATAAAAACGGTAATTGATCGGCAAAATTAGAATAGTAAGCTTTAAATATAAGTCCAATTAAAATGATTTGTCCATAAAACGCGTTTTTTCGTCACCGTCCATTACCTGACAAGGCATCATTAGCGACCAAAACAATACAAAATCTACTTTTAGATCGAATGTCATGCGCAATGTGTTGGGGCTTTCACCTTGGTTATCTGAAATGTGTATATATTTTATCTTATTTCATGATAATTACGGCTAAACAAATCGTTTATTGAACTGATTTAATTACTGCTCTTCTATAATTTATTACTAAAACTATTGGTAGAGCTAATATATGTTTAAAAAATCAATGAATTATATATGAGCCATATGAATGTTAAGTTATAGAATTTGAATTTGTATGCACAAATATGCAAATGATTCGTATATATTCGCATCTAATCCGTATCTCAATTAGTTGTTGGAAACAAATACCAACAAGATCGAGTTGGATATTTGGAATATTGGCTACTCTAAATAATTGATAAGCCGAAGAAAACGTAAACCATGTTTAACGACAGCAAAAGGAATTTGCTCAACACAGTTTTCTTCGGCTTATCAGACTAAATAATTGATAGACTGTTAATCAAGCAAAAACTATATATACAATATAACAAAAAAATCAGGTGAAAGATCTTTAAACCATTATTACGTATAGCCGTTGAATATACCAGACATATATAGAGAAAAAAAACAATTTAAAGAACATAAAATGAAGTTGTTAATATTATGGGATCTCACCCATCTCTACAACCACACACTCACAGGCTCTACTTTTGTTGACCAAAAACACATACATAGTTGCAGAATAGTTATCAGATTTTATTTAGTTTTGGTATTGTGTTATTGTTTATACAGCGATAAAAATTATTTGATGTTTCTACAATTTTTCTGATTTTTTTCTTTCTTTATTACTTACTTTTATTATCTTCAAAAATCGAAAGTAAAAATCCGTGAGCTAAACTATCTTTCCAAAATTTTGATAAATGAGAATCTAGAAAAATAATTTGATTTTAGAGTAACACTATTCATTTTTGTTTGGTCAAAACTATATATGGTTATCGTGATTTTTTTAATAGTGTTTTTTTTGCTGTTTGAACATTCTACAATAAGGTTAGAAATACGATAACCATATTGTAGAATGTTCAAACAGCAAATATTATGTTATTCAGCCACAAATTCTGAAAATCAGAAATATGGTGTTATTATTGGTTATAAAAATGTATATATGGATGCTCTGAAGGCCTTAATTAAATTCTCTTCCAATCGATCTAAGAGAAGTAAAGGAGCCCAAAAGAGATATAAGTGGGCCTTAAATAAAGACTAGGCCCAAATGAATCTGCGAAAATAAGAGACGAAATTTAAAAAATTTTGACTTTCAGACTAAAGACAGAACCTGCAAATGCGAGGAAAAGAGTCAGTACATTCAATCTCCGAGGCTCACTTGTAACTATTAGATGAACCAGACGCCATGGAAGTTCAAATCTTTTCGAGACCTTCTACTGAAATCCGTAGCGGAGAGAGATCTCTTCACAGGAAAATCTCTTCACGCGCGCTACTTGAAATCCCTCGTCGCTTCTTCCACTTACCTCTCAAACCACTTCGTGAATCTCTACTCCAAGTGTGGCCGCCTTTCCTACGCACGAGCCGCCTTCGACTCCACCGAAGAACCCAATGTCTTCTCTTACAACGTTATCGTCAAAGCCTACGCGAAAGACTCGAAAATCCACATCGCACGACAGCTGTTCGACGAAATTCCGCAGCCAGACACCGTTTCTTACAATACACTCATCTCGGGATACGCTGATGCCAGAGAGACTTTTCCCGCGATGGTATTGTTTAAAAGAATGAGAGAATTAGGGTTTGAGGTAGATGGGTTTACGTTATCAGGGTTGATAGCAGCTTGCTGTGACCGCGTCGATTTGATAGTGCAGCTTCACTGTTTCGCTGTCTCGGGAGGGTTTGATGCTTACTCTTCTGTGAACAACGCGTTCGTCACGTATTACAGTAAAGGAGGGCTTTTGAAAGAGGCTGTGTCGGTGTTCTATGGGATGGATGAGTTAAGAGATGAAGTTTCGTGGAACTCGATGATTGTGGCTTACGGGCAGCACAAGGAAGGAGCAAAGGCCTTAGCTTTGTATAAAGAAATGATCTTGAAAGGATTCAAGATCGATATGTATACATTGTCAAGTGTTTTGAATGCTCTCACTAGCTTGGATCATCTGATCGGTGGCCGTCAGTTTCACGGTAAGCTGATCAAGTCTGGATTTCACCGGAACTCACACGTGGGGAGTGGTTTGATCGACTTCTACTCAAAATGTGGAGGTCGTAACGGTATGTCTGAGTCAGAGAAGGTGTTTCAAGAGATTTTGTCGCCGGACTTGGTTATCTGGAACACGATGATCTCTGGGTATTCACTGAACGAGGAACTCTCTGAAGAAGCTGTCAAGAGCTTTAGACAGATGCAACGTATTGGACATAGACCTGATGATTGCAGTTTTGTCTGTGTCACAAGCGCTTGCTCGAACCTCTCCTCTCCTTCTCAGGGCAAGCAGATTCATGGGTTGGCGATTAAATCTCACATCCCTTCGAACAGAATCTCCGTGAACAACTCGTTGATCTCGATGTATTACGAAAACGGAAACCTGCAAGACGCAAGACGGGTGTTTGATCGTATGCCGGAGCTTAATGCTGTATCTTACAACTGTATGATCAAAGGCTATGCGCAGCACGGGAATGTAACAGAGGCTCTGCTTTTGTACCAACGGATGCTTGACTCTGGTATTGCGCCTAACCATATAACCTTTGTAGCCGTTCTTTCTGCTTGTGTACACTCTGGTAGAGTCGCCGAGGGTCAGAGGTACTTCAACACCATGAAGGAGACGTTCAAGATCGAACCAGAGGCTGAGCACTATTCTTGTATGATTGATCTTCTGGGAAGAGCAGGGAAGCTGGAAGAAGCGGTAAGATTCATAGACGCAATGCCGTTTAAGCCAGGGGCTGTTGCTTGGGCTGCGTTGCTCGGTGCTTGTAGAAAGCATAAGAACATGGCTCTTGCGGAGAGAGCAGCAAATGAGCTCATGGTGATGAAACCATTAGCCGCGACGCCGTATGTGATGCTAGCAAACATGTATTCGGATGCAGGCAAATGGGAAGAGATGGCGGCGGTGAGGAAATCGATGAGGGGGAAGAGGATAAGGAAGAAACCGGGGTGTAGCTGGATCGAAGTGAAGAGGAAAGAGCATGTGTTTGTGGCGGAAGATTGGTCTCACCCAATGATACGTGAAGTGAATGAGTATTTAGAGGAGATGATGAAGAAGATGAAGAGAGTTGGGTATGTGATGGATAAGAGATGTGCAATGGTGAAGGAGGATGAGGCCGGAGAAGGAGAAGAAGAGACGCGGTTAGGACGGCACAGCGAGAAGCTCGCGGTGGCTTTCGGGTTGATGACGACATCAGACGGAGAGGAGATAGTTGTGAAGAAGAACATGAGGATATGTGGGGATTGTCACAACGCGATCAAGTTCATGTCTGCGGTTTCAGGCAGAGAGATCATTGTAAGGGATAACCTTAGGTTTCATAGCTTCAAAGATGGGAAATGTTCATGTGGGGATTATTGGTGATAATGATATGACTTTAATTGAATAGGAAAAATTGTGTTGACGGATACAAAACATTTGAAGAACAAAAACTGACTTGTTACAAAATACAAGGAGAGAATATCGAATTACTGCTATTTTTTTTTAATGTTTTTGTGTTTTGCGAACGGCTCTTCGTGTGAATATGCTTTTAGTGTAGAACAGTAGGCTTTGGTGATGATGGCTGGTTAATGTAATGGCTTGAGATGGAAGACTTGGCAGGCTGGTTTGTATAATCCTTTGGAAACAGCCTGTTCGAACTTCTTGCTTGGTCCTTCGTTTTCTTCTAAGTTTGTCTGGACGAAGAAGCGGTTCCACCACGATGCGCTACGCATTTTAGCCTGCAGATAAGAAAACAAAAAGTGCACGTCTTAAGTCTTGTATACTCGTAAGTCTCTTGCTTTGAAAGAACTTTGTGAAAGATTGATAACAGTCATTTAAGTATGCATTAAATGCAACTTTCAAGAGTCACTGTGTTTGAATCATGAAGTGATTCTAACGGCTAAGTGCATAAACTATGCAAATGCCACTTATAAACTATAAGAATAAGACTATAAGAAAACTTACGGGACGACCGAATTTAGATAATTCAGCAACTTTAGCTCTCTGCTGACCAGGGAGACCTGGAACAGATGAAATTCAAGAGTAAGAAACCAAAAAACTCAGAAAGAAGTCTTTGTTTTTCTCAGTTTTTAGGGTAGGTACCTGCAAAAAGAACCACACCATCTGAAGCCACCCTTGCAAGTTCAGGCACGGTCTTGTTCAGGTACTTGGGTGAGAGATAATCAAGAGCATCGGACACGATCACAAGAGAGAATGATTTTGCCCGGTAAGGCAGAGGGAACTTGATATCGGCCACACGCACAAGGCCTTTGCTCACGAGACTCTTGCAGTGAGAATCTGCATCCTCGATGTCATAAGGTTCGACACCCCATGCTTCAGTCTCTTCTTCTTTCAACAGACTGGAAACCACTGAGCATGTCTCAGGGCCTACATGCAAGACCTTGCGCATCCCATCTCCATAAGCCTTCTTAAGAACAGGAATGGCTCTTTGCACTTCTGCTGTGCAAGAATAGTCACCTGAGGATTCACAACAAAACATCCTAGTGTCAGGTCTTTGCACAGCTCTGAAAAAGAAGCTAATAAGATGGCTCAAAGGCATTTAGAATATCTTTAAGTACAAGAACTGAAAATGAGAACAAGAATTACCAGTAACTTTGCTGACTTCTTTGACACTTTTAAAGAGACCTGGATTCGAAAGAAAGTGAAGGCGATGAGACAATTTGCTACTAGAGACAAAGGACCTATTGTACACTAAGATGTACATATACATACCTGGACCACTGTATGCATAACCAATGAGTAGGCAAGCCCCCTGGAAATCCAAATATATGAAACGAACATTAGTTCTGAAAGTTAACAATGAAGCAAATTCGTTTAAGAAGAGCAATGAAGCACACAAATCATACATACCACGAGAACAAGGCAAATAGATAATAGTGGAGAAGATCGGGACTTTGAGTGCAGAGCTCCTGCAAACGGGAAGCTCCCACCATCCCCTACACGTCGTGTTGAGCCTACTTGCCTTCTCGCCATTACTAAGATCCCAGAAAGCTCAAGCTATTATACCTACAAAGCCACACAAAAAAATAAATAAACACTAAACTAGATTAATCCATGTCCTTTCTAGACTGAACATCCATAGAACACGATGAACAACTCTCAAAATCTCCATGATTTCAACATTGACTAGCATAAGCAACCAAACAAATAAGTCCAACACAACCATCAACGTAGACACAGATCCATGAAACAAACAGATAACCTTAAAAACCTATCAGATTCCACCACAAATCAGCTGCGTTCGTTCTCCAATTTTACCCACATCTAAGCCAAACATCACCAATAACAATGAATTTCATCAACAGAAACAAATCAGATTACAGATAGATCCATGAAACAACTCGCAGGAAAAAGGAGGAATTCACGCGAGACGAACGAGACCCAAGAAGCGTAAAAGAGGAATAGAATCATGGAGAAATCGAGAAGAAGAGAGGAAAACTACCTTAGATCAATGACACAGAATAAACAATGGTGAGGGATCTAAGATCTCAGATCCGAGAAAATGCGCCTTTAACAGCTTCTATACACCTCACTTGAATTTTAACTAAAGGAGAAGCTTCGCAAGTGTTTTTATTATCACTGCAATATCGCTATCTACATATTTATATACTCGCGTCATATATAAAGCGCGTATGGCTGGGACGCGCTGTACGGAAAACGACGTCGTGTTAAGCCCATGATTTCATAAAAGAGTTACTAAACTTCTTATCGTTTTTTACACACGTAAACAACACTCACTTCTGCAGTCCTGTGGTATATTGTATCCCCCCCAAAACCAAAAACAAAACAAATAAAACAGAGTCCTCATCATAATTCAACAGTAGCAATTTGACAGACAAAAACTATTGCTCAACGGCTAACTCTTCATCATCTTTACGAGGTGGTCTCCATTTACGGCTCTGAATCTCGCTCCTTTCGACTATTGTCTGAGACTTGAGCTTCTCATCCTCACCTTTCAATTTTTCATCAATAAGATACATCAATTCCTTCAGACCAACTCCGGTCAGTGCAGAAACTCTGACATCTGGTCCATTCTTCTCTGCAGCAGCTACTATATCATCTTCCGGAGCCTTAAAAAGCTCAGAGTCACTGACATTTTCATCTTCAGACAATAGCCACCCATCAGAATCACCTTCTTGGTTATCGATTTTGTCTTCATCAACTGCTGCTTCAAAAGTTTCTTCAGCTATCGAACCGTCGCTTAACTCTGCTTCTTCTTCTCCTTTGCCATCATCTAGATAATGCATGTCTTCCACTTCCTCTTCTTCTTCATAATCAATCTAACAAAAATCCCCAGTGTGTAAAAAAAGGACGTTGCTTGTTCTACTTGAGATAAGATGGTTTATTTGCAAAATCTTACTTTATTCCAAACTTCAATCATATTTTTAAGCTTCTCTTCTGGTACTCCAATTTGATTAAGGACATGAAACACTGTTGAACGATGCTCCTCGATATTTGGAGCCGATGAATCAACAACATGCTGCAAAGAACAAAAGGCCAAGATTTCTATAGTTCTCCACTACTAAATGTAACTCAAGACTAGAATTTTTTATTTTATTTTATTTAGTGGTTACCAGAAGTAGATCAGCTTCTACAACTTCTTCCAGAGTCGATTGAAATGCTTCCACCAACTACAAGAAGCCACGAGCCAAGAAAAGAAACCTAAGTGATTTAAAAATGAAAGATGGAATTAGAGTAGAGATACATTACCTGAATAGGCAGATCTGATATGAATCCAACAGTGTCACTAAGAAGCACTTTCCTTCTAAATAAAAATCAACTCTTATGATTCAATAGTTTTTCATTTGTACCGTGAAGTTATAAACATGATCCTTGACGTGTATCAATCAACTTACCCAGAAGGAAGGATGGCACTTTTGAGTGTAGGATCTAAAGTAGCAAACAATCTGCAGATGCCAGACCAAAGCATGCAAAAGCTAAGAGTTCAATTTCAAATTTGACAAATTAAGATAGTTTTAAAGCATTTGAATTTACCGCTCATTGCAGTAGAGAGCAGTCCTTGTTAAAGCACTTGTCAAAGTCGATTTTCCCTAACAAAAGCAAAAAAACAATCATGAAGCAGACTATCAAAAATAGTTGCTTTTGGGATGAGATTTCTTGGGGAGGAGGCAAAATCCAAACACTTACAGCATTTGTGTAACCAACGACAGCAATGGTTGCTAAACTTTTACCCGCTAAACCACCTTGTCTCTTACGTCCAGCACGCTGCAACAGCCGCGTTCGTCTGGCTTCTTTAATTTGGGTTAACAAGCGAAGCCTCCGGTCTGATATTCTGGTAGATCACGATTTTTGTAATAGGATAAGAGAGCCGCGCACTAAGTCTTCTGGTTAACCAAAGATACGACACTGAAGATATATAAATGTAATACAGTTTCAGCTAACCTTCGGCGTTGAAGCTGAAGCTCAGTTTCTCCTGCACCACCTACGAAACCAACTCCTTTACTAGCTGCTCTCCTGCAAAAAAAATGATTCAGTAACATTTTCGTTAGCTTATCAACAACCAAAAGGATCAAGGAAAATATACAAAACAGCAGGTTGAGAAAATTCACCCTCGGGCACTAACAACTTCAGCTTCTCCAAACTGACCAAAAGTCTGACGTCCATCAGTACCACGCACTCGAACCAGCCTGCTCTTTTTGTACATCAGAGCTGCTAACTCAGCCTGTGAATAAATGAACCAAACAGCTATTGATTAAACGTTCTTAGAATCTAAAAAAAGATAGATCTTTATTGTCACAGTACCTGAAGCTTTGCTTCTTTCGTATGCGCATGAGCATTAAATATTTCGATTATAAGGCCTACACGGTCTAATACAGGCTTTGCCCAAATTCTCTGAAGAAACGAATGCAAAGACACAACATTAGCTTGAACAGAAGGGGAAAAAAACAAACAAAAAAGGAAGAATAAATTTCAGGTTTTTGTGGCGTTACCTCCAAATTCCGTTGTTGAATTGCTGACAAAATGGCGTTTACAAATACAGCATCAACTTCTTCCTGAGCATCAAGAGATTGTAACGGCATGATGCAGCAAAAAAAAAAAAAAAAAAAAAACAAAAACAGAGGTTGATAACGATGAGATATTTTAGCGGCTTGCCTTGGAATCTTCAGCATTCAGATGGCATTTGATGTTGTCTACAGTCCCACGCCCGAAATAAGTATCTAACAATTCAAAACCACTTTACTTCATCAGTCTCTCAGGAAAATCGTCGAACACTTGGAAGTCATGATTCTTATTCATGGAAGAAAAATTGAAACGGAAGAAAAAGTTAACTCCACAGACAGACCTACGCGAGGTTTAGACGATCTAGCAACAGGGTTTTGGACAACAACATGAGAAGGCAATTCCTTGTCGAAGAAATCAGACTCGAAGTACCCATATCTCTGTTCTTCAAGCGAATTCGCGAGGCAGAGCGCTTCGTTCAGCTTCGCCTGCAGAAACTTAGGCGGCGCTAGACGAGGCTGGACAAGGAAGAGCTTAGGTGTGCTTGACGGATCTTTCGGGTACAGCAAAACGGATTCTTTTAGAGCCGGCTCTTATTCTTCGCTCGCCTTAGGCGCATGCCGCTTCGAAGAAAATGGGGAAGAGAGGACACGGAAGGTAAAAGGAGACGAAGAAGGAGAAGATGCTTTGGACCTAAGATGGTCCCGAGCTAGAGACAGTGTCCTCAACATCGAGAGACGACCCAAATGAAAATACTCTTTGAGTCAATTAAAGAAATTTGAAGCTTTTGATTGATATTTCACTCGCTTAACGATTACAAAAGGATCTTGCTGCTCTTTTACAAAAGCTTCCTTGAAGCAGATTCGGATGATCAAATTTGTTCCTCGCCGGGACAATGCCTCTGTTATTGCCAACGACTTTGCCGGGTTTATCTGGGTTCGGATTGGTTTGAGTCGGTTCGTTTGTCGATTTCGGTTTTAATTTCCGGTTGAATCTTTTGATTACACAAAATTGGCAGTGGTTCTGTGTTAAATAAAACAAAAACCGATCGGGTTTATAGGTTAATTTTTCGTTGGTTATAAATTTATAATCCTGGTTTAAATTCGGTTTAGTCAACTTTGTTTCACTCTTGACTAAAATGACAAAAAGAGGAACAAGATCGAACTAATGTAATGAAACAAAGCAAAAAAACATAAACAGCGTTTGATACAGCTATAAAAGTTACTTAATTTAGAAACTTATAATGTTACAATGCTTTAGCTCTACTTGGTTCACCTCCCCACTTACGCTTATGATGAGCAGCTGTTCCTTTCTTCTTCCCTTCTCTAATCCCTTTAGGTTTAGCTTTCTCAATCAAAACCTCCTCACCTCTCCTCTTATACATCTTAAAGCTCACATCTCTCTCACTCGCCATCTTCCTCACCTTCTCTGTTATCTCTGCAGCGATCGTCCTATTATACAGCTTATTCAATCCTTTCATGAGCTTCGCGTACGTATCAGGTTGCGGCATCAAATCCATCTCCATCATATCCAGACAATACGAGCACGCCTCCTTCACGTGACCTCTCGCGAACAAAGCATGGATCCATATCGTCCAAGCCGATACGTTCAGCTCACAGGAAGAGCTTTTGTTCGATATGCAACTCCAGACATCTTTCGCCATCTCGACCTTATCATCTCTAACAAGAGTGTTCAGCAACGTCTTCAACGTTCCGTAGTGAGGCGCAGAGAAGATTCCTCGGCTCACCATCTCTTTGAAGTGATCGCATGCTTCGATCACACAGCCTTGGCTTGTGAACCCGTTGATCATAATAACAAACGTATCAACTCCAGGGCTTAAACCATTACCTTCCATCTCATTCCACAACCGAACCGCTTCTTTCACTTCCCCTAACTTACAGGCCAATCTGATCACTACGTTGTAAATCAGAAGATCCGGATTACAACCTGCTTGCTTCATCTTCTCAATCAACTCCAAACACTCTTCAAACTGTTCTTTCTTCTCATGAGCCACCATTATCTGCATATACGTTACCTGCGAAGGCACGACTCCTTTCTTCCTCATGTCATCCAAAACACTATAACCTTTATCGATCATTCCCCATTTGCAAAACCCGCTTATCAGCGCGGTGTAGCTCACGAGATCAGCCTCGCATCCATACCTTTCCATCTCAACGAAAACCCTCATGGCCTCATCCATCCTCTTCTCCATCCTACACAGCGCCTGGATCAGAACCGTGTAGCAATTCGCGTTGGGCTCATACCCTCTCCTTCTCATATCCTTCATAAGATCATAAGCATCCGCCATTTTACCAGCGTGAGCGTATCCGCTCAGCAAGTTGGTGAAAACCACAATGTCTGGCTCAAGCCCTGCTTCCTTCATCTGAACCAAGACATGTCTAGCTTCAATCAACTTCCCTTCCCTACACCAACCATACAACAACGAAGTGAAGTACCGAAGATTCGGAGGAAACCTCTCTCTCATGTCCTCGAAAAGCTTCGAAGCATCCTTCACACTGCCGTTCTTGCACAGGGCGTCTAACAAGCTTCCGAATATATACTCGTCAGGCTCTAAACCGTACTTGGGCATTTCGTCGAGCACCTCTACTGCTTTCTTCACCATGTTAGCAGAAGCGAACCTCCGCATCAGTACGACGAACAACTCGGGCTCAATCAGCTCCGGATTCTCCTTCCTCATCTCTTCGATTAAAGCCCAAACAGCTCCGAACTGCCGCATTTTACTGAGAACCTTCACCATCGATTTGCAAACTTCATAGCTGTGACAATAACCAGGTTGCTTCGATGCCCAGAGAAAGAATCTGTAACCTAGATTCCCAGCATCGCCACACCGACTCAGCACTCGTACGATTAACTCGGGTCGCAGATCGATACCGGATTCGTTAAGAGCAAGCTCCAATTTGGGAACCCTGGAGTGGTAATTCCGTAGAACTCTGTATATCTTCTCGACGTCGCCGGCGAAATCATCCTCCTGCTGCCTCTTCTGTGGACAAACCAACCCAGCCCCATTAATTCTCTCCGCCGACTCGACGGAATCATACTTGAGAACTCTGGAAATGTGGAGCCATTTGCAGGTGAGATCGATTCGAGAGTTTGCTTGAGAAGATGGTAAGAGAAGAATATAGCGTTTGCTGAGGAAAAGATCGACTATGGAAGAGAATCTACGCATTTCTCACAGTTCGCTCTGTTTCTCACTCTGAAAACGACGCCGTTTGCGTATTTATAAAGTCTTCTCCCTCTCTCTGTTTCGCATATGGAAAGGAAAAGCCCTAAAAGAGACGATTTCTTCAACTACAACAAAAGCTTATAGATGACTGATGAGAAAAGCTCTATGTTTAACAGAGAGCTTGTCAGCCATAGCCGAAAACTCATTGCTCAATATCAACCGCCGACTGACAGGTCTCACTCGCTCCGGCGAGAACAGAAACGCTCTCAAGCTCTTCGCCGATGTTCACCGCTGCACAACTCTGAGACCAGATCAGTACAGCGTCTCGTCTGCTATTATGGCCGCTGGGAACCTCCGTGATTCCGTCTTCGGTGGCCAGCTACATTGCTACGCGATTCGCTCGGGTATATTGTGTCACTCTCACGTCTCCAATACGCTTCTCTCGCTCTACGCGAGATCAGGGAACTTAGTTTCGTTGAAGAATAACTTCCAAGAGATAAAGGTACCTGATGTTTATTCATGGACGACGCTTCTGAGTGCAAGTTTCAAGCTTGGTGATATAGAGTATGCATTTGAGGTGTTTGATGAAATGCGTGATAGAGATGATGTTGCGGTTTGGAATGCTATGATCACTGGTTGTAAAGAAAGTGGCTATCGCGGAACGGGTATCGAATTGTTTCGAGAAATGCACAAGCTTGGTGTCCGACATGACAAGTTTGGATTCGCTACTGTTTTGAGTATGTGCTCTTTGGATTTCGGTGAGCAGGTGCACTCGCTGGTTGTAAAAGCTGGGTTTTTGGTTGCATCATCTGTTGTTAACGCCCTCATCACGATGTATTTCAATAGCAAGATCGCTGTTAGTGCCCGGCTTGTGTTTGAAGAAGCTGATGTTGCTGTTCGTGATCAGGTCACTTTCAACGTGGTGATTGATGGTTTGGCTAGTTTCAAAAGAGAAGAGCCTTTATTGGTTTTTAGGCAAATGCTAGAAGCTGGCCTTAGACCAACCGATCTGACATTTGTTAGTGTTATGAGTTCGTGTTCATGTGCGGCTATGGGAGGCCAAGTACATGGAGTAGCAATCAAGACAGGGTATGAAGAGTATACGTTGGTCAGCAACTCCACTATGGCAATGTACTCTTCGTTGGAGGATTTTGTTGCGGTTTGTAAGGTTTTCGAATCGTTGAAAGAGAAAGATTTGGTTACTTGGAATACAATGATCTCTGGTTATAACCAAGCGAAATTGGGCGAGTCTGCGACGTCGGTATACAAGAGTATGCAAAGAATGGGAGTTAAACCGGACGAGTTTACTTTCGGAAGTCTTTTAGCAAGCTCTCTAGATTTAGATGCCTTGGAGATGGTTCAAGTGTGTGTAATCAAACTCGGGCTTAGCTCAAAGACCGAAATTTCCAACGCGTTGGTATCTGCCTACTCCAAGCACGGAGAGATGGCGAAAGCGGACCTAATATTCGAAAGATCTATGAAGAAGAACCTAGTTTCTTGGAATGCTATCATCTCAGGGTTTCACCGTAACGGGTTTCCCTTTGAAGGTTTGAAAAGATTCTCTAGCTTGGTAGAGTCAGAGGTCCCTGATGCTTACACTCTTACCACACTTTTGAGCATTTGCGTAAACATTTCGTCTTTGATGATCGGGAAGCAGGCTCACGCTTATGCCTTGAGACACGGGCAAGTCAACGAGACATTGATAGGTAATGCCCTCATAAACATGTACTCTCAATGCGGGACTACACAAAAGTCTGTTGAAGTGTTCAACCAAATGTCTGAAAAAGACGTTGTGTCATGGAACTCTCTAATCTCTGGATACGCGAGACACGGGGAAGGAGAGAAGGCGGTTCTTACCTACAAGACGATGCAAGATGAAGGAAAAATGGATCCCGATGCAGCCACGTTCACAGCGGTTCTCTCTGCTTGCAGCCACGCCGGTTTAGTCAAAGAGGGACTTGAGATCTTTAGCTCAGTAGTGGTACCGAGTGTGGATCACTTTTCGTGTTTAGTAGACCTTCTTGGTCGAGCGGGTTACCTCGATGAAGCGGGAAGCTTGGTGGAGATGAGCGAGAAGAGCATCGGGTCAAGAGTAGATGTGTTGTGGGCTTTGTTTAGTGCTTGTGCTGCTCATGGAGATTTGAAGTTGGGGAAGATGGTCGCTAGGTTACTAATGGAGCGAGAGAAGAATGATCCATCGGTTTATGTTCAACTGTCGAACATCTACGCAGGGGCTGGTTTGTGGAAAGAAGCAGAAGAGACGAGAGAAGCCATGAATATGATTGGAGCTATGAAGCAACGAGGTTGCAGCTGGATGAGATTCTGATCGAATCCGGTTTAGTCTTGTAAAAGGAAAAATTAGATGCTAACCGGTCGATCCCGTTTTATAAGAGTTGTAGGCGGATGGATAAGAAAGATGTATACCAATGCAATTATAAAAAATTGTAAAACAATCATCATGAACTTCTTTCTTCTTGTGGAGTGGGGATGATGATCATCATCATCGTGAAAGCAGTATTATTTTTGTTTTGAAATACGGAAACGCACCGTTTCATCTATCTGACAATCCACTGGCACGAACGAAACCAAAATCAGTATCGGGTCCACTTGTCTCTCGCAGCAGATACCGCAGTATCCGTTACCAGGAATAATTTTGATTTGATTTATTTGTTTATTTAAACAATTCAATAAAGAATGATAATAATAATATTCCTTATCTTCGATGATTTACATTAACTAAAATTTACAAGAATGTTTTTCTCTCATTACTTAAAAAAAAATAGAAGTGAAAACCCAATGAATAGACCAAAAAACTCACACACACCAAGAATCCTGAATCTTCTTCTTGTTTCAGAAATAGCCGTAATTAATTAATAATACAAGATTTTAAGCAAAATCCTTAATTGAAATCAAGTTTAGTAATCAGGCATTGATTGACTAATCTTGCCTTCTTCTTCAGCGATCTTCTTCTCAGTGATCCTCAACCAAATACAAACACCGGTGAAGCTAATCATCAAGCTCGCGATTCCACTTCCAAGCCCAATCCCAACGATCGCCATCACTGATAACCCTTTGCTCTTCATCATCTCCTGCAACGGAAACCCGTACAATCCTCTGTTCCCTACGAACGAGCTCGCGTTAAACCTCGGAAAATTCCCCGTCCTGTTCGACAAATACGTCGGAATCTGGCCGGAGAGTTTGTTGTTCGACACATCAAACGCCGATAATCTCGCCAAAAGCCCTAGCTGCTGCGGGATTGGACCGGAGAGCTGGTTATCGTGGAGATCGATGACGTTGAGGTAAGCGCAGAGTGCGAGCTGCGGAGAGATTTCGCCGGAGAGACGATTGGACGAGAGATTGAGCACGGCGAGGTTAACGAGAAACTGAATTTCCGGCGGTATTTCGCCGGAGATCTGATTCGAGGATAGATCTAGGGATTGAAGGTTGGTACAGTTGGAGAGAAAGGGAGAGATTGAGCCACGGAGGGAGAGGTTAGTGAGAGAGAGTTTATAGATTCTGCCATTGTTACAGGTAGCACCAGGGAGATAAGAGGTGAAGCCAGAGCAAGGATTGGAGAAGACGTTGTTCGTCCAGTTCCGGAGATTACTCGCCGGATCCTCTAAGCCTTGCCGGAGATTCTTTAAACACGCCTCGTCGTTTGGATCGGCGGAAGTCAAACGCCGTGCCGGTTCGAAGCTTAGTAAGAGGAGAAGGAGTAACCGGTAGCTAAACCGGCGACTCCTCGCCATCGGTAATCTCTCTCTACTCTCTCTCCGTCGTCTTCAGAGAGATTTCAAAAAGGTTGAAGAAGAAAGTGGAACTTCCATGTGACTGTTGAGAAAAAGAAACGGTTACAGAAAATTTGTAGTTGACAGAGAGAGAGAACTTTTGGTTTGTGTGTGATAATACGGCGCGTGTTAGCAAAGTACGCGTAAGATAGAGGTGGGATTAAATTGGGGGGATTAAATAGAATTGATTATGCTGGGTCTGGATGTAATTATACTGCTGTTTTTCAACTTTAATTATTCTATAAATGTATACCACCAACACAAACAACACTCATGCTTAAATCGTAATCATGCCATCCAATTTCTCACATACTGTGGAAGATCTGATCAATTTACAGTAAATTCATGGATGTTTTTAGAATTTTTCTTGGTATTTTTATTTAGTCACCTGTTTTTTTTTTTTAATTAAAAGAAAGAGAATGGAATGATATTGGAGTGGACTGTATCTGAATCTATCGTGGGATAGAATTAAACTTTTTTTTTTATAGAGTTATTACACATTAAATTATCTGGTCCACTAATTTGGAACCATGTGTACAAAGAGAGACTCACCAAAATTTTCGTGAGGTGGTCCTTTTAGTGCTTTACACTATTTCACTTTTCATTAACAATAGTCAATACTCAATACTATCATATTATATCCAATTTAGATTATAGGTGAAAATCCTCTTGAGAAAATTATATGTATACTTAATTAGGCTTGGCGAGCAGATATCCAAAATTTTAGAAGTATTTGTAATTTGTTCTGCTTTATCTTCAATATTTTTATGATATGTATCTGTTTTATTACTATCCAAATATCTGGTATTCAAATATCCCTTAAAATTTAATTTTTTAATAAGTATTATATATGTTCTAAAAAACGTTAAAATAAAATAATAATTTAAAAATCAAAATGTAACTCATAAATTAAAATGTTTTATAAATTGTATGTTTCAGATATATTTATAAAAAGTGTTATTTTAGTACTTTTCACATAAATTAAGAAACTTAATAAAAATCTCTTTTATCTTTTATAAATATACTAAATAATTTTTTCTTTCTAATTAATACACTAATATAACAAGGTTAAAACTGAATTCTTGTTTAAAAATTTATATTAAAAATACAAAACAACATTTTTTATAAAACAAAAACAAAACTCTAAAATAACACTCGAAACAAAATGAAGTATTATTTTTCTATTGTTCATGCCTTTATCATGTCCCAACCCCATTCAAAAGGTAACAAAGCTGTGCGATACACCCGTATATGTATACATATATATATATATATATACATAGTCTGCAAGCCTATCAAATTCTTCATCTTTACAAATCGTACCATCAATTTTGATCACATAATAAAAGCATGCCCTCTCACGAAAACAAATTGCTTTTGTCAGCTTCACCTCAAGTAGTCAAGTTTCGTCGTCGTTGTCTAATATCAATGATCAAATGGTGGTACCAACCTTTTCTACCTTGCCACCACTATGTCCGTTATCAAAACGGTTGGGTAGATCTTCCTCGTTTGTGAAATCTTGAATATTAGCAAAATGAAAAAAAAAAAAAAAAAAGCAGGAAAGAGACGAGAAGAGAAAGATGATCCATTTCTTATTGCGATGAGAAAGTGTTCAAGTGATGTAGTAAGCGATGGTGATAAGCTTATGTCTGGAGGGAAGAATACTCTTAAGCCTATCTAGTTTCTTGCTAAGCTCCTTGTGTTAGAGACTTAGAGGATCATTTTGACATCAACCATTTTATTCAGTTTTTCTAGTATATATAGGGTTTGAATGGTATGCAGCTTTTTCACGTTTTCACATTTTAGAAACTTGATTTTGTTATTTTTTACTATTCATGTTACTCATCACATTTTCACTTTTTCACGTTTTTTTATGTTTTTGAAACGTGATTCTGCTAGCATGTTAAAAATATAACTAAAAAAACAAAACGTGATTAATCTACTAAAAGTAGCTTTTCAGCGTTTCACAATTATTCAGCTAAAATATTATTCAATTCAGTTCATTCTGCTAGTAATTTTTCAATTATTCCGCTATTCTGTTATTCATCTGACATACCAGTCAGACCTATAATTTTTCCTATTTTAAATGTGAATCTATCAATTGCATTAAAAAGCATCTTATCATGAACTTATATTTAAAAGGTATTCAAATTATAGAATTTTCTACTTCTTGTTTTTCCATCTGTCGACGTCAAATTACAAGATCATGTAAAAGGTTTCAAAATTTCCTTATGTAAAATATCTCAAGTTGTCTCTAAAGATCAAAATCAGACTTTTATTTACACCTTATTTTTTGTATCCTTCTTTTCTTTATCCAAAGCGAAAAGACCAAAAGTGACGGCCAGTGAAATTACAAAAGAAAAATCTCAAAGAAAAGAAAGAGACAGATTTATCAGCAGTTGTAGTTTAAACTGTTGTTGTATATATTGTTTGATTGCATGAACTACAATATAGTCCATACATTTGTTATTTCCATTTAATTTTTTTTTCTTAGTGGCCTAAATTTATAACTAACCTAGTATTTTAAATTTATATATATACGGTTGTATCTTCCTCACTATTCAATGAGAATTACATTTCACAAATACATCTCTCTCTCTCTCTACATAATATGTGTTTTTTTCCTTTAATATCCTTTTGCAATTAGTTTTTATTTGATTTCTTTTTTTCAGTTAAACAGATTATTAAACATGGTTACCAAACAACAAAGTCAATTGGTTTCAATAGTTGTGGATCTAGTCCTTTTTTTCTTTCTTTTTGAGAATATGTTCATGATGTTTTCTATAAATACATCTGAATCTTGCGTGTGTTCATTTGATCAAAATTTATTTATTCTGCAAAAATGAACTAATTTCTTTATAAATAAAACAATAAACAAATCAAACGATAGAATGAGAGCTCAGTGTCAACATTTGGGAGTAGTTAAGTAAACATTTAACAGATTCAGAGAACAGAAACATAATATATATAATTTGTGTTTTTGTGTTTTTGATTTGTGTGTATATCTTTTCAAATTGAATCAAAGCTGATGGTGAAATCCCAACACAATTATCATCTGAATCATTTTTGTGCTATTTCTCGTATAATATTAAGTTATATTATACCTCAACAAAGCTATTAAAAGAAAGAGTGAAAGCTCTCAACAAATTCTGCCAGTCACCTTTTTCTTTGTTCAAAAGTATAAACACGACAATATAATTGATTCTGTAATCAAATGGAAAATATATCTAAGAAAACGAAATTTTTGCTAACGTTATGTGATAAACTCTCTCTCTCTCTCTCTCTCTCTCTCTCTCTCTCTCTCTCTCTCTCTCTCTCTCTCTCTCTCTCTCTCTCTCTCTCTCTCTCTCTCTCTCTCTCTCTCTCTCTCTCTCTCTCTCTCTCTCTCTCTCCAAAAAGAGATAGAGAGAGAGAGAGAATATACTGCATGGTAGTTTTCTTAACAGCAAAGCTGTTGTAAAGAGGTCGTTCCTAAGGAATACAATAAAACCTAAAAAAGCATGGCCTAATTATCAAATTCTTCCAGCTCTATAGCCTT